AAGAGTTCGGTTTGCTGGAAAATCGGGATATGCGAAACCGGGTAGTCCACATAAATTATTCGCTGGATTAGATGTGCCATGTTCATCGTCGACCCGGGCTTTTTTCGAATATAGACGAAGTTTTTCCAGGGGAAAATATGAGACCTATCTCTCCTGTCGGTCGATGTTTTATGCAAACGAGCCTCCATACACGAAGCTCGTTCTATAACTTGATATTACTATTATCTGCGATTGCTTTTTTGCCAAAGCAAAATTTTCCTATAAAGTACGAAATTTGAAAATTTAAGCTTGTCTGGCGAATTTTGCTTCCGCTCACTTCAAACCGATCATTTTCACTTACGCGTAACACATTCTTTAATCTTTCGGTGAGATTATTTCATACGTGGCCTTTCCCTATTCAGACTCACTTGCATAAGCAAAAGACTCAGAATTGATGAGAACCCTTAAAATCATTTTCAGAAGTAACTCATGGAATAACATTCAAGGACGTTACCATTCATCCTCTTTCCACATATAAATCGATTCTTCTTAATGTCGTTTTCTCATTTCAACTGTATGTGTTACTATTCTCAATGAACTCCTCCCATAAATTTTTTTATAAAAATATAGATAGAGAGCGAACATCTAGTTCCTACGATTGCAGCATGTTAGAATTGGTCGTGTATGTTATTTGAGAGTCATCTCTTTTATTTCTCATTAAAACGTCCACTTAATTGCCCTTGAGAAGCATATTTTGCAATAAAATTCGAGACACACTTCCGCGCACTAAAATGACCGTATCCGAGCATATTAAATTTTGTTTTGCACAAAATGTTCAAACGTGCTCGAATAGACTGGACAGTGTGAAGAAAAATATTGCGGCTCAAGCCAGTTTATTTTATCCCTGTGATTATGACCCGATATATTCTGAATATGATACTATTCAACTTTGTTATTAGGTATTACTTTGAAATGGTCCCATGTGTGATTGGTAGCTTATTGAAATACTAAAGTATTTGAAAAGAAAAATTACCACCTTTAATTCAAATTGTGGGCCTTTTTGAAGTTCAAAAAGTACTCTACTGCAATTTTTTGATGAAAATTCAAAGCGGCAACGATGATTTGTCAATGATTGAGGGAAGATAGCTTTTGTCAAGAATCAAGAATTATGATCCCAGTAATAAGAGTGCACAATAACGAGATTACACGAGCACAGACATGTTTGGAGTTAAACGGGCAGAACTTTGAACACTTCTTGTGAGTTGTCCACATTTCGAAACGGTTCTCTTCTAGCTCACATATTCACATCTAAGAATTTCTTTTGACTACCATCCTCAAAATGTTTTTCTTATTTAAATCATTAGACTGCGCTTCTAGGCGACTAAAGCAAACCTGCCTAGCAGGGCAATACAAATCAGACAGTACAACAAAATAAAATATTTCATCACTTTTTTTATGATGTGAGCAACGACATATAAATTTCCATATCCAATTTGCCGATGTGTTTACTGGCATATAGAAATTGGGGCTTTACTGACACTCACGCACTCACACAAAAAAACGGGCAAACACTTTTATGTGCCATAAAGTCGCGAAATGCGATTGAAAATATCGTAATTTAATACTTTTCGAATAAATTACGTTCGCTTTGGACGGCGCATCGAGAGAGAGAGAGGAAGCGTAATAATATTAAGTTACTGACGATCGAATGGTGAAAAACTTGATTGGCCAATGCTAATGAAACCCGGTCGTTGATCATCTATCCAACTAGTTGCTTGAACTGATTCCCGATTGAGTGCAACGAAAATACATCGAGGGAAAGTTGCAAGAAAAGTTTTCTTCGAGCGATGTTTTCCTCCGTTCAATTAAAATTCTTGTTTGAAATGGCTGACGGTGCGGAAACAAATTTGCGAGATTCAGTTTTAATAACGCTAATTGATAAAATCTCAATTAATTTTTTAATTAATTTTTATAACCCGATGTTCCCGAAACTTTGCCGGCAATCCGAAATTCATTAAGCCCTTTATGAGTTCCGAATATCTTTTCTTAGGGGGAAGCGTTCGGAAAACACCGGCAGTTCAACGCAAACGATTATTTTCGGACTATTAATAAATTTCCCTTTGACTTTCAGTCAAAAACGCCCGACCGCCTTTTTCAACACTGTACAGACTTTTAGATCAGTAGATTTTTCATTAGCCCATTTATCCAGCTCGTTAAAACTAGCCGGTATTAAATCGGCTTTTTCGGCCACTGCTTGCGGTATTATCCAAACGGTGGGTCCAGAATTATCTCAACTTTACGAGCAAAAACATCGTGTCGCAAAACTACCTTTCCAGTTTTACTTCGTGCTTTAATGCCCGGCAAAAAGAAGTGTTTTAGGCCCGTTTTGCTCAAAACTATGCCAGACCCTCACGCTCAGCGGATTAGGGGATTACTAATTTGTGTAAATGCTTTATTCCACCTTTGTAAGCGGCCGGTTTTAATTGTGGGCGCGGTTTATAATAGATGCGTTGACAACACTGAACGTTAGCTGTTTGTTTTCGCAATGGAAAAATGGAAAATTTACCATCCAGCTAGGCGTACATGTGACACGTGTCACTCCATTTGAAGTGTCTTTTCCTTTTCGCTGGCTGGTGGAAAGTTTAAAATCCGCCAGTCTGCTCGGCTGTCATATTACAATGTGCAGTTGGACACGAAGAGTTGGGGGTTAATTGGGGATCCGTCAATAACTGAGCTTCCGACTCGGCATGGGGCGAAGGGCGACGTGGGATCAACAAGTCGACAGTCAGTCGTCAGATGGAACGAACTTTCCGAAAGATGCGAGAGTTTTTAAGGGGCATTTATCCATCATAAAATCTAACTGAAATTGCTACTGCCAGAAACTGCTAATTCGATAGCATGATCCAATAAATGGCTGCGGACTTTTTATTTTAAATCTGAACCGTTAATTAGCATGAGTGCTCTTGAATATACAGGGTGAATCAAAATTGGCGTCATATATCTTGAGGTGAGGCATTTGAAAAAAACTAGATCGGAATTACGGCATCGATGCTTTTCAAGGAAATCTGCCTAATTAACGTTACATAAAAACCTGTTCGTTCGTAATTATTAAAAATTCCGGTAACCATTGATAAACATTAAACGCGGAAGTGACAATAACAATTTTTCATTGTGGTTAGGATACCCAGTCCCCCCAATTTTCCTTAGCTGTCAATTAGTCTGTTAAGAAATTAATATTTTATAGTAGTGATGACGTCTTTTGAGAGTACGAATTTGCGAATACCTTTTGGTGATTAACGAATATTTTAATACAATACCATATTTTATAAAATTAAACGGTACGAAACAAAACTATTTTAACTAAAGAAGCCCCTATAACCCCTTAAAAGGAATGAGGCCACTTTTGAATCACCCTGTATAAACGGTATTTCTATAAACACTTGAGAATACTTGTAAACGATACATTCAAATGGCGCAGATTTGACACCATAACTAGTCCGAAAATCCGACTGGCAAGTGAGGCGAACTGCGAAACGAATTATTCGCCATACGAAAAGGGTCACTATAAAGCTTTAATCCGACGAGATCCGAGACTAAAACTAATTTAAAACAAAGGCCCTAATATACAGCCCACTGTAATACATGCAAGTACGTTAGTAAAAAGGAGCAGCCACTTTGGAGCAAAACTGTTTCTTGCTTTTAATGGGATAGAGCGAGGGCCGGCGCAATTACGAGAAGTCGGGCAAAAGTTGCATGAAAAATTGCCGCCATTTTTTCGGCTAAAGAGTTTTTCAAGTGCGCCTTTGGGGAATCGGGACTTTTCCTGATTGCATTTGGAATTCGGCTCACTCTCAAAAATGTCGCCCGAAGTGCCACTGGTAGGAAGTTCGGAAACTTGCAAAAATGCTCCTATATGGTCAGCACAGCACGGCACACCTCAATCAGTGACTAATGAGTATGAGGAATAAATGTGGGGCGAAACAATGAAATATTTACAGTGACTCAGCTCAGTCCCCAAAACATTTAAAGGGGGTGCATATGAAGCGGACAAGGTGGTTGAGTCAGAATAAATAGGTGTTGCACGTGAGTAATCAAAAGGGGGGTGCGTGTCTGTCTATTTGGCGCCCCTTTGTCTCACTTGACTGTGCAATGAACTAAGTTTATATTGAGGCCAGATTTATTACAATAGTCATATGGATTATTAGAGGTATTTGTAGCAATCTACTTGGTTTTTACAAACAGAAAATACATCTTCGCTATTGAATGCAGCAAAAATCCAACATGAATCAAGACTTTGTATGTCACGATAATCACAGCAACTCACTCTCCTCCTCTCCTCACTTGCGGGTTAACCTCGCATCCAAGAGCAAATCAGGTCACTTAACGATAGAACGAAAGTGTATTCAGCCTCTCGATTGTTTGTAAATAGTCAATGTGAGTTGATGGCGCCTGCGAGTGTTGAGCCAACTATGGTAATTTATACTCTGTCAAACTCTTAACGGGCTTCATCGGAGTGGGCAGCCAATAACGGGCCATATTTCTTATTTCGAAGCCCCGGGCGCCGCGAGAGTGTATGTAAATATTCCTCTATTTACGGTTTTCTCTAGTTACCAAGATTCCATTAGCCCTGTTTGCCCGACAGGCTCTCCATTTTCTACTCCACTTTTTCCTGCCTGCTTCAGCGCAGCTTTTTTTTGTACCAGACGCAATGTGTTTGTTTTCCTTATGGAAATTTTCCAACCAGATAAAAAAACATTGTTTGTCGATAAAACCTAATACACTTTTTAGGGTTGTTATGGATAGAATTAAAACAGCATTTAGTTTTTGACATGTGACAAATGACAGATGTTGTAGAGCTGACAGTTAACAGTTGCTTTAGGGCAGAGCAGGCGTGACTTATGGTGATAGTTGCCAATTCTCGCTCATAACCCCAGCCGAAGCAATGGGATTTCTAAGCTGCAGGAAATTTGTGTAGCAGTTTAGTGGCGCTTATTCCTCAGTGGATTGATGATCACCAAAGGATTCCAGGTGAGATGAGCGCAACCGATTCCGGGTTCGGGACGGCTCGCGGCTGCTCGGCAGGGGTTTCCTCCCTTAACCAGCCAGAATGTGTGGCGTCAGTAACTGAACTGCAAACGGCAGGGGTTGGTTTGAAGCTCGCAGGAAACGCCGAAAAGTTCGCCGGCATTTCACGCGTGAAACGTATTTTCCCGGGTCGTGTTGGTGATTCGTTTTTTGCAAATTTTTTGTTTTTTTTTTGTGACGGATCATGATCATGATGATGTTGAAAGTGTGGTTGATGTTGATGGTGTGCCGTTGCTGTGACTGTCAGACGCTGATTAGTGATAACGATGTGTGGGATCAGGAGGAATCAGGTATTTAAACCGCCTTAATCAGTTACGTGTAGGGGCATTATTTGGCAGAGATGGATCGCCTAGAGGGTTCCGAAATAATTTAATCTAAAGCGCTTGAATTTATGGGCAGAGATGATGGGCACAAAGCGTTTTTTAGAGTAGGTTTATTGAATAAAAAAAAAGAAGACACCTCTCTTTATGGCTCATAATTGTTGGAGGTGGTCATCGTGTAAGCCAATTTTTTTCTTTTATTTTATTATTTTTTTTATAAAGCGGAGATGGAGGAAAAAGTGACGAACAAGTGGAAATGGAGTACATATATGTTTAAGGCAATTTTTCAAAACTTTTCGAAAATGTTAGCTGATCACCGACACCTATTTGTCTTGCTTCCCTTTAAAAACCCCAAGTAGGTTTATGTTGAATTGTTCATCTGAAAATCCTGCAGCGTAATTAAATATTCGTCTAAACAATGGTGAAGTTGTAAAGTTTGGCAAGTTTAAAGCCGGCAGAGTTGCGATGGAAAAATAGTTCGAATGAGGGCCAGTTTTTGTGCGGAAAGTTTCGCCGCCCAGTGGAAACACCAGCATGCGGGTTTCGCGAAAGCTCGAAATTTACTTAAACTTCGATCGCAATCTGGGGGTGTTAGCGTTCAACTCTTGCCGTCCTACTCGTTTCTATAGCGAAAGTTCCCTAATTAATATTTGGTTGTTTTCAAAATATAGTTCTGTTATAAAGTTTTCACTCACCTTTCGCCCTCTCCATTCAGCGATGGCTTTATTCAGCGATATCTTAATTCCCACTGAGTGGAAAGTTTAGAGTCTTCGAGAGCACTTCCAGGGCTGCGGGAAGTTTACTTTCAAAGGGGAAATTTATTTACAGATGAAGTATTCTGTATACATATAATTCCGAACGGTTTTGAATATTTGTCTTTTAATTCGCGTGGAAGTGGAATTAGATAGTCCTATGAGCCGGAAGGGGGGCTCGCGATTCGTTAACAGCCTTTGTTTCCACGATTTTAAACTTTCGAATTGCGCTCCGCTCGCTCCTACCTGGTTGACGCTCCGTCCGGGTTTTCCATTTATATGGAAAACAACCTCCCGATCTCATTTCTTTTGTGGTTGATTTTTTACCTTTGCACTGTTTAATGTGGGTTTAGTGTCTATTTGAAGATGGAAAGTTCCATTCCTAATCAAGCGATGGGCATGTTCTTGCATACAAAGTTTCCGACTTTAAGTGATGTTATTTTTTGGATAACAGGACTTTTTAGTTCGTAGCTTCTGGAATAGAAGCGCATAGCAGTAAGCATGACCAACCAGAGGTAATGTTTTGCAGAGCAGTCGCATTAATTTTGCAATTAGTGTATGTAGAGTGCGAAAATATGCCCGGAATTTTATGCACTGGATGTTGTCAATGAACACCAAATTCTACATCAAAGCGTGTCAATTAATTAAACTTGCCTATGTGTTAATATCAGGAAATGTGCAACGGAAACAGGGGATTTACGGATTCCATATTTGAAAACTTTCATATATTAGGTTTTGGAGCTACTTCACTTCTTAAAACTTCGGATTACCAAATTAGTGACTTTGGGGCTTTAAATGTTTGGGAAAATATGTTTTTCGCGTAAATTTACTTTTTCATGCAACTGCAACTTATCACTTAAAAGTGGAAAACATTGCGAAGAGGCAACTTGAACTTTTCATGCTCTATGGAAAACTCCTTCAACTGAGAAACACGCGACTTGCGAATGCTAGAAAGAATAGAAACTATGGGGTTAATCTGCAACGGTATTTGTAATGAAACTCAAAGTGGAATTCTCCAGATTAGTTTGCCTTGTTGTCATGATAGTTTGGAACATTTGATGAAGAATTTTATTAATTACTGCCACTTTCAGCAGCCATGAAAATCTAGCATCCCACCTTAGCTCTGTTTTATTTTTCTATTAGAAATTTTATATATTAGAAATTCCTTCTTCCTTCTCATTAATGTCTTCTCAATTTGCTCAATTTGTTGTTTCCACATAGTAATGAGAAATTTGTGTTTTGTTTTTACAAATAGTTTTGAATGCGGTTCAAACGTGTTTGGCTCAACCGCGATAGAGAATAACCCGAACCACCCAGAGGAAATTGAAGGACAAAATAAGAAGTACTTGAAGTAATTGACGAAAAGCTTAGAAGTAACAAATAAAAGAGGACGCTTAGAAAGAAACAGCAAAACATCAGAAATAGAAAAAAGTCAAAGGGAGTTGGAGCGATTAAAAGAGACAACCAGGGAATGGAAATTAAATGAAAATGTACAAGTTTGACTGAATTCGCAAATTAAGCAAATAATGAAATGTCAACGAACAAATGAAGCAGACTACCGAAGGAGAAGTGAATGAAGGGATCAGGAAGAAAAGCACCTAAAGAAGATACGAGAAAATGCCATAAATCGAGCACGTATCAGGCAATTAAGCAGGAACCTTGATGAAGCAGGCAAAAATGCAAAGAATCAAAAGCTCTATTCGTTGACTCAATTCAAATCCATTCATTCGGTTCAAGGGTGTAAAATTACATTTACAAATTTTATTTTTTGTCAAGCAATTAGGTTTTTTATTGTTAATCGTTGAAAAAACAAGGCTCATAAGCGTTCTTTCAAGTCAACTCCTACTTTAAGATCAGTACAGCTAAAGGCCCCTTGACATCGTAATAGGGTGAATGAAATTTGCCAAACCTGAGCAAACCGCGCCCTTCGACATCTTCGATGAAAAACTCATTACACGACAGAGCCGTGTAATCGAAAACATGGAATTTATATTTGTTTTTGCCGCACAGCCAGTGAGTTATTCGCTTTAAAGTTATTCGAGGAAAATATCTTTTCAAAAGCATCGTTACAGCCTCAGAAAATTGAAAGTCAACATTTAAATAGCTATTGACGTCAGTTCCAGTGATATGTGCCCAAGTTTTATTGAAAATTTATCAACTAGGTTATGCTAAAGTGGAGGAGTTGCGAAAGAGCTACGGATAAAACGTACGAGGCAGGGGGATTTTTATTTTTTCCTCTCCATGCGTGTGCGAAGTTGCCGAAATCTAATCTCTATTGTGTTCGGTACTGAAGTTTGCTCCACTCCGGCACTACTTTTCAACAGGATAATAACAGTCTAACTAGGGGAATATTGCGCCGAGCCTGAGAGTTTCCATTTAAATAACTTCGCTCGTGTCATATGCAGCTAGATGTAATATATCTTTATTGGATGCTTTCAGACGTGCTCTTTATGAAAGGGCATGCCAGCCATATCTGGAAGTGATTTTAAAGCCACGGATTAATTCGCTCCCATTAAATCCATTCAAGGAGGTCAAGAAATGCCAGCTTACTAATGACTTCCGCACAAGTTTACGCTGTTGCTCTAATTCCCTCGGCCAATAATTCTTTCTAGAGACGCCGATTCGGCAGCGGCGATTATTTTCCTTTTCACTTGCTGCCCCCCAGTCAATAAACTACAATTCCGGCCGAAAAACGAGCTAAAAGCAATAACAGTTTTCGCGTAAATATCCATTCAGAGCTTATTGTTTTAGATTTGTCATCGGCGAGAAACGGGCCAACCAGAAGCGAAACGGCAACTTTCCCAATTTTATGCCGCTCTTCGTCGTGGTCGCCTCGGTTAACTACGATTTATGCCCTCCTTACTTCACATATATTTTCGTAATCTAGCCCTCTTCAGATGCAATTTTTCTTAATAACATATCCGCCATCCCGACGCTGCTAAACATCTGTGATCTATTTCATTACGCTTACCGATAATAACTGTCTGCTGCAGGCCGGGAATTTACCTTATGGGTTTATGGAGATGATGCTGTCTAATAGTGGATCGTTTTTCATCTAATAGTTTCCATTGATCGCTCTCATTATTACATTGCCTTTAACTTGATCGACAATTTTCTGACTACGAGCGAAAAGACATATATATTAGGCAACAACGGTTTTAAACCTCTTGAAAGCTCGGATTCTTCACTTGGTCCCTATTTTTCTAACTATTGGTTTCTGATGTCTTTCAGGTTAAACAGTTCTCATAACAGCTCGAATAACCTACAGCTTTAGGGAAAATAATGTCACCCTTTTCCCGAATTACTCCACCATTGCTGCGTTCTTCGCAAAGTTTCCAAAAGGAGTAGCGGAACAAACCAAGTGTTATTCCCATTCACCGCCACACAACGTCCATTTTCCGTCCCTGATGACAAAACTTGCCACATACTTGACCTCCTCGAAGTCCCTCCGGTTCATTTCGAGGTTGTATTTCGCACCTTGGAAGGTAAACGGGAAGATAAATCGACACTCAACTAACACATCCATTGCGCGCCGGCACTAAACTTCTAAACGAGCCGGCGGTCCGAAGTTGTGCGGCAACTTCTAACACCTCCTGGTCACCTTAAGCTGCATTTATGCCGGTGCACTCTAATCATGACAAATACTCGAGAGCACGGCGGCCTCTCGTTTAATTTATAGTTTAAGCAGAAAAGTTTGCGGGCTTTTCAATCGGGCCGAGGGCATCACTTTGATCATACATGCGGGCGCCGAGCTTGATTGCTCTCACTCGGCATGTTTGACTAGTTTGCTTGAGAATTAGCCCCGCAGTTTGCAACTTTTCCGGAAAATCAGCAGGTTTTTGCATTTTCATTTTTGATATTGATTAAAAGTTACGACGTACTAGTTTCACCAATTTAATACGTATCTGAAAGCTGTTCAGTTCATTCTTTAAATACAACTTTGTAGAGGTGAGAGGTAGAGGATAAACGGTTATTTTTCTGTAACAGGGTTACAACGTTCCAGTTCCAGTTCAATTCAAGTCTTTGTTCCCACAAAAAATTCTAAACAAGCCACCGGTCCGAATGATAGATCCAAACGGGCCAATCAAAAGGAGCGATGCACGTGCGATCAAAGCAAACTTCGCCCATTGAGCGGATAGTTCGAGAAGTTGTTGGTTCAGTCTGTGAAGGAACGGAGTTTTTCCGATATAACATATATGCCAACGTGCACTATATGCA